CCTTCTTCTCCCACCTGTGGCAGAGCAAGCCTCTGCCACTGTGGTGACCCCTTCACCCTTCCTCAGGTGTGGCTCACCTTACCTAGCTGTATGTCCTTCAGACTCCCAGTTCCAGGTGGTTCCCTTGGAGTTCATCGCTCTTTCCCTCCCACAGTGGAGCACACAGACTCCCTTAACAGAAATCTTGTTCCTGATCAGCCTCCGTTTGGAGCTCGAAATGGGTGAATTGGCAGGAATAGAGCCAGTAGTCCTGCATAGGTAGACTCACAGCGTCTCGTTTAGGAAAAGAAGGTACTGCATCTTTGGGGTATGCCTCATGCTTTAAGATCATTAGCTAAAACTTTAAGAGAATAGGAAAAGGTCACCGTTATGTCCAGTGTACATGGATATTACTGTATTCCAAAAAAAGAAAAAAATTTGTATGCTGTATACATGTATACAACAGACAAACACACACACATACACATACACACACACACACACACATATAATATATACTCATTCCAAGAAAATTGTTAAATTGTTCAGTTGTAAACTTTCCTGCTTGCCCCTTCTTGCTAGACAGGAAAATGTGCCTGGTTATGGCAGTCAATCATGGAAAATAGAGTGTTGTCCATGGATGGCACACAGTATACATGTCTTGTATTATCTCTTCGGCAGCCAGGAAACAAGCCAAATTTCCTCCTGACTTCTGGAGGAATAGTTTTCCATAATACTCGGACTTTCCCAAAAATAGCCGGGCCAGGAGCCACTAAACGGCTTGATCCATTTTTTGCATCCTAATCTATAGAGAAATGCCATTCCAACTGAAGAATTTTCATAAAATAATACTTTTTTTTTTTTTTTACTTCAGATCTTGCTAATTCTTTAATAAATGATAACATATATTGTTGCATACCAAATCTATTTTATTTGTGATTTTAGCCATCGCTTCACATTGCATGGCAAAAATTAAATAAAATGCAATGTACCTCAAGAAGGAGAAGTGGGTTGAGTTTTAAGGAGAAAGCTATGTCTCTGCATGGGAAAATCCTTATTTTATAAATATAGTCTAATGCGTTTGTTGATGCTTAATTTCAATACGAGCACTTGTTTTGTAATTTGCACATCCATTAAGCTTGTAAAATTAATTTGCAACAACATAGCCTTGGGAGCATTTACACATAAAGCGAAATACAGTCTTGTATTTAATCTCTTCGGCGTGCCAGAAACAAGCCAAATTCCCTCTGAACTTCTGGAGGACTAGTTTCCCATAATAATCTGAAGACATGACAGGGGTGTATGGTGGCGGAGGGGCCTTGGGGGGGTGAAGTGGGTACAGACACACCTGAGAATGGTAGTATGCACTCGAGGACCTGTGCCAAGGTCTCTCTTAACTGTCGGACACTGTGTTCTGTAAGTTAAATAGTTTGGCAATCGGGAATTTTCTGAACATTTATTTTGTATAGAAAAGCATGGGATTTTACGACAATTAAGTAGGTATAGTTAAGAAAATTTATCTCCTGTTCAGTTGCAGAGTGGTGCTGCAACTGTGCTCTACTGGCGAAGATGGGTTACTCACAGCTGCAAGGGTAAAGCAAGTCTTTCTTGTGGTTTGGGTTGCTCATAGTTGGCGCATGGATTGAAAATGGACTTGCGCAGGGACTGAGCTTAGGCCATGCTCTGCCCTTGTCTGGCATGTGACTTCGGAGTCGTTACTCTCTTGCATTCAGTTTCCTCATCTGTTAATGGATCCATACCAGCTCTACCTATTTTCACATGGCTTTTTAAGGACAATTGTTCCTCTCACTTTGGTTTATGTATTTGAGCTTTTATTTGCAATGTGTTTAAATTGTCACCCCGTTGGTGAAATGCCCCCTGTTTATCATTATGAATTCCTTCTATGTTACTGGTGATATTCTTCACTCTTAAATCTATTTTGTCTGATATGAACATATAGCCACTCATCTTCTTTTGGTTGGTGTTGGTGTTATCATGGGATGTCTTTTCTATCCTTTTATTTTTAACCTATTTGTGATTTTATATTTGAAATACATCTCTAGTAGGCAACATATAGTTGGGTGTTGCTTTTATATCATGTCTGGCAATCTTTAATTAATATGTTTAGACCATTTACATTTAAAACAATCGTTGATATGGTCAAATTTAAATATTTCATGGCGTTATTTGGATTTTGTTTTTGTTGTCCTACTTGTTCCCCTTGTTACTCTTTTTCTGCCATCCTTGGATTAACTAAGTTTTTTATAATTCCATTTTATTTATGTTGTTGATCCGTTAGCTATATATTTTGTAATTTCAGTGGTTTCCTTAAGATTAATAGCATATACCTTCAACTTACTATAGTCTACTTTCCAGTGATATTATACATACTACATATAGTATAAGAACTTTACAATAGTATATTCCATTTACTTTCCCCCAAAACTTTGTGCTATTATCATGCATTTTACTTTTATGTATGTTATAAACCCACATTGCATTGTTATTATTTTTAACTATTAATTATATTTTAAAGATATTTAAATAAGAAAAATCATATCTATTTGCATGTGTAATTACTATTGTTCATTTCTTTGTGTACATTTATATTTCTCTCTGGTATCATTTTCCTTCTGCCTGGAGGACTTCCTTTACCATTTCTTCTAGTGTGGGTCTACTGGTGATTAATTTTTTCAGCTTTTTGAATATATTAAAAATTATTTATTTCATATTCCATTTTCATTTTGAAATATATTTGTTGAGTATGGTATTCCAGATTGATTTTTTCCAGTACTTTGAAGATATTGTTCCACTGTGTTCGTACTTGGATTGGTTTTGAAACAAAATCTGTTGCCATTCTAATCTTTGTTCTCACACATATAACCGTATTTTCTCTGGCTGCTTTTAAGATTTTCTCTCTATCACTGGTTTTGAGCAATTTGATTATGAGGTGCCTTGTTGTCATTTTTCTTAATATGCTTGTGGCTGGAGTTTATTGGGATTCTTGGCTGTATGGTTATAGTTTTTGTCATATTTGGAAATCCTCAGCCACTATTTCTTTGAACATTTTTTTCTGTCCTGTCTTCCTTGCCTCCTTTAGTGACCCCAACTACATGTATGTTAGGCTGCTTGATATTTTTCCATAGCTCACTAATGCCCTGTTAATTTTTTAATTTATTTTCTTTCTGTGTTTCATCTATTAATATGTGTAAAATTTCACTAATCGTTTTTTTCTGAAATATCTATTCTCCTGCTGATCTAATCGATTTTTTAAAAAATCTCACACATTATAATCTCAAATTTCACTTAAATCTTTTTATATCATTCATGTACCTACTTAAGTTTTTGAACATAATAAAGCTAATATAATTATAAGTGTTCTGTCGGCCTGTCTATATAAATTTAATATCTGTATTAATGAGTCATATAATCATATGCATTTTTATTTATTTATTTCTTCTTTATAAGTCATATTTTCCTGGTTTTTTTATATTCCTGAAATTTTTAATAACAGCTTTACTGAGATGTAATTCATGTACCATAAAGTTCACGCTTTTAAAGTGTACAATTCAGTGGCTTATACTGTACTCACAGAGTCATGAAGCCTTTACCACTATCTAGTTTTAGAACATCTTCATCACCCTTAAAAGAAACTCCGTGCCAGGCATGATATAAAAGCAGCACCCAACTATATGTTGCCTACTAGAGATGTATTTCAAATATAAAATCACAAATAGGTTAAAAATAAAAGGATAGAAAAGACATCCCATGATAACACCACTGCCCATTCTCCCTTTCCCACACCCCGCCATGACAATCATATCTAATTTATGATTCTGTAGATTTGCCTATTCTGGACATTTAATATAAAAGGAATAATAAATTTCTGGTCTCTTCTGACTGGCTCCTTTCACTGGACATAACATTCTCAAGATTTATACGAGTTGCAGCATTTATCAGTGCTTCATTCTCTTTTCTTTTATTAAATAGTACTCCATTGTAGGGATACAACACGTTTCGTTTAGCCATTCATCAGCTGAAAGATATTTGGGTTGTTCATAGGTGAAAATTTTTTATTAGATGTCAAACATTATGAACTTTGCCTTTTGGAGTACTAGATATTTTAATTCCTATAGATAATCATGACCTTTGTTCTGGGATGTAGTTAAGTTACTTAGTAATAATTCGATCTTTCTAAATCTTGCTTTTAAGAATCACTAGGCAGGACTAGAGTAGCATTCAATCTAGAGCTAATTGTTTCCCACCTTCAAGGTAAGACCCTTATGTACTATACCCAGTGGGCCATGAATCTTGATGTTTTCCAGCCTGGCTGGTGGGAGCCGGCACTATTGCCAGCCCTGTGTGGGTGTCAGGCACCGTGACCTCCAATTACTTCAAGTGTTTCTTTCCCTGGCCTTGGGTAGTTTCCTCACATACATACACAGAACTGCTCGGTACCCAGGTCGAACCCTCTTCAAATCTCTGGAGTTCTCTCTGCGTGTTGCTCTCTTCTTTCCAGTACGCTTCCCTGTGCACTCTGGCTTCCTTCTGGTCTCTCAGTTCTGTCTTCCCAGCTCTGGAAGGCTGCTGGGCTCCTCATGGCTTCCCTCCCCTGTGCCATGCCTGGAAACTCTTTCAGAAATGCAACCACCCTGCAACTATGTGGCTCAGCTCATTTGTTTCCCATCTTTCAGAGATCACCATCATCCATCGCTTGGTGTACAACACCTTGAGAACCACTGTTTCATATAGTTTGTGTGTTCTCAGTGGTTTCAGCCAAAAACAGAAGGGTTAAGTTACTTATCAGCAGCCATCAAAGCTGCTGCAGGGAAAACTGGAAACTCTGGGTCCCCCAAACTTGCTAATTATATTTCCTATTGCAAAGCCAGCCTTTTAGAGGGAGGTGAGCTGTGACTTTCGTTTTGTTGTGACAGGTGATGTGCTAATAACAATTCCTTTAGAGAATTCATTTGTGCCATAGGCTTCTTTGAATGTGGGAACGTTTATGTCTCCTTCCACAGGTGATCAGCGAATTTGAAGCCTCCCCTGACTCATTTTCCTACAGAATCCCTAACCTGAGTCGGAACCGCCAGTACAGCGTCTGGGTGGTGGCCGTGACGTCAGCCGGAAGAGGCAACAGCAGTGAAATCATCACGGTGGAGCCACTAGCCAAAGGTGCGCACGGCAGTAAGGACCTCATTCCCCAGCGTAATTCGACCGAGTTTGAGTCTCTGTTCTATCTCAGACAAAACTTACGTTGCCCTAACAATTAAGCAAACCAGAACATCGCGTTTCAGGGCAAGAGGTTGGGTTGCTTGTAGCAGATCCTAAGCTTTTGCCCAATCAGAAGAGGACTCCTCTAGCAGAGAACAGAACACAGGAAAAGTGGTTTACCCAAAAATGAGGAAAATGAGCGAAAATGAGGAAAAGGAGCTTCCACTCACCCCTTGGAGTAGGTGAAAGCTACTCTGTTGTTTTTTCCCAAGGACGTTCTGCTTCATAAGAATCAGGTATCCTACTTCTTAAAGAGGAAAATGTCTGTTTTATGATCTGTGGAATTTGGGACCTTATGAATATAAGAAAATCATTAGCTATCATCTATGATAGAACACTATAAATGAAGTCTATAAGGGACGGTGGAAAGTTGGAGTCACCAAAGAATAAAAAGTTCCTAGAAGTGAATGTAATTATCTTCACAGTTCGATGTTGGGCTGGCCCTTAAAAAGTACTTATAGGCACAGAGCATTCTTATTATACTTCTGGGAATTTCCACCATGCAGTGTTTACAGGTCCCCCTAAATTAGCACTCACCATAAGTCAGCCTTCTTACATGGCAATTCCAGGCCAGCGGGAGATGCCCCTTGGTTTTGGAGTACAGAGTATTGGCAATTTATAACTAATACGGCCTCTGAGGACCCAAGAGAGAGAAAAACGTATGCTCCAAGACCCCAGTGTTACCCCCTAAGAACTCCTGATAGCATGCGAGTTAACGGGATAGCCAAGAAATAGAGCAATAAACTAGTGAGGGGGACAGAGAGTGTTGTCACATTGTGAGCAGAAATGCAGGTGGAAAGAAGGTAAGCTGGGAAGGGGACTGAACTGATGGAGTTCTCTGTCTGTTGTGCTCTTTGGTCGTGACATCCAGCCCCTCCTGGCATTGAGAAAACAGTGATTACCGGGGAAAATTCTGGACATAAAAACTGCACCGTGGGGTGGAAAAGGAACTTCAACAAAAGATGTAGGATTAGCAGTAGCATTCTCGCTTCCTTTCCTTTGTGCTCTCAAAAAGTTCCATCTTTAGACCTAACAGAAACGGGCAGGCTAGTGCAGTAGGATGCGGCGTACTCGGAGGGGAAAGACTGAAAATCGGCTCCTTGCATAGGAGCAGGTCTTGTCTGGGGAGATTAAATGTCATTCGGTCATTTAATGTCATTCTGGGTGCCTGTTGTATGTCAAGCACTGTGCTGCATGTACCCGGGATTTAGTCCAGGGAGCTTGACTGCTGAAGCGAATATGCCCTACAGCTCAGTGGCTTCACATAGTGACTTCCCAGCACAGATCGTTTGGGCCAGGTGGCTCTCCTGGGTGGCCCATTGCACACGGCGGTGCAGGGAGCCAGGCGTCTCCCACCCTGTGATTTACAACCCTGGGTTCTCTCATTTCCAGCCACGCAGATGGGGAAAGAGACCGTGGAGGGCCTTACGGGGGGGTTCCGTGGGCCAGGCATGGAAGAGCATCCACTATTCTTACCCACGTGGCATTTGTATAAAGTGGAGGCGTGGACCCTACCCATCTTCAAAGCAGGGCTGGGAAACGAAGTCAGTCACATCCAGAAGGAAAAGGAAACAGGCTTGGTGAGCACAGAGGGCTCTTCTAAGATGATGTAAACTGACGTGTTCCCTGCTCGCCCTCACGGAGCTTGCGGTTTGGTGGGGAGACCGTCAGTAAACAAAGCGTCACGAAGGCACATGCATAATTGCAAACTGCAGCACGTGCTGTAAGGAGACAGGGGAGGGGACCTCACTCAGAGTGCTACTGGGAGGGAATCCCCCGGCCCCACAAGGGTGAGTAAGTGCAGCGACAGGAACAGGGAAGAGGAAAGCAAAGTCAGAAGGCCCGGCCAGGAAAGAGGTTAGCGTGCAGGGCATCCAGGATGCTGGGCCCTGGTGGGCAGGAGAAGGCAGGCAGTGCCTTAAAGACTGTGCTCAGGATTTCCGATCTTTCTGGAAGGGAAGCAGGGAGACAGTGCGGGGTTTTGAGCCAGCGAGGTACATGATCTTGTGTGTGTGTGTGTGTGTGTGTGTGTGCGCAATAAAGTTTATTTTTAGACCAGTTTTAGGTTTACAGAAAAATCATGGACAGTGCATAGAGTTGCCATTTGTCCTTCACCTAGCTTCTGTGATTAAATGGTGCACTTGTTACACTTAATGGCGAGTGTGTTTTTAAGACCACACTGGCCTCTCTCCCCCGAATGGACTGCAGAGAGGGAAGGGTGGGGGGAGCAGGGGGCCAGTGGGGAGGCCGGGTGGCCACCCAGTGACACGGAGACTGGGGGAGTCGCAGGGTGGGTTGAAGGAAGTGGATGGGCCCAGGCTGTGCCGTGGGTGCGGGACTGACTGGACGTGGCTGCAGAAACGGAGGAGGCTGGAGAGGGAGACGGTAGGAGTGAACACCTGAACTCTAGGACCCGGCATTGTAAGGGGGGGCGTCACTCACTGGTGTGGCAGGCTGTGGACAAAGTGGGTGTGAAGCAGGTGAGCGGAGATGTGGACATTGGGACGTGCTGAACTCGAGGTGTGGGAGCCATCCCCTGGGAGGCGCCTGTGCAGGGGCTTGTGCCGGCTCTCGGGAGACACCTGGCAGGAGGGAGGAGAGCAGAGTGGTCAGCGCCTGCACCTCCGCACAGCTGGGCTGTGGATGAGGTGGTCTGAGAGAGATGGAGGGGAGCCGTGAGGTGAGAGTCCGGGGCAGCTCTGAGGAGAGACAGGATGGGGAGCAGGCAGAGGAAAAGGGGTGAGTCCGAGGAGGGTGCAATGGGGGAACACGGGACCCAGGAGGGTACAATACTGGGAACTCAGGACAGGCACTTCCCAAAGGAGGGAGTGTCTGGGGGTTTGGGGGCACTGCGGCTGGGAAGGCCAAGCAGAGCAAGGCAGAAAGTTCCCGTGGGTTTGGCGGGAGGACCTGGTGGACCGTCCTGGGGGCAGCTCTGGCAGGTGCGGAGGGGCTCGCAGGAGTGAACCTGGGCCAGGTGAGAACGCAATGCAGGTGAGGAGGCAGGAAGATCCAGCAGAACGCTGGTGACACAGTGCCTAGGAGAAGTGACAAGAGGAGGAGGGAGGGCAGGTTCGCATCCGAGGAAAGGTCCCGGTTTTGTGTTTTCTATCAGGGCTGCGGTGCGGGCACGTTTGTGTGGTGATGGGGAGACTCCGGTGCAGAGGGAGAAACTGATGACATGGGACAGGAGCCGATGACCTCAGGACTGTGGCTGGGAGGAGGAACCGCAGGCTCGTAGATTCGGGGCGGGGAAGGCAGAGCCCAAAACGTGCCTTCTTGTTTCCTGCATGCAGCGTTAGGCGATTTGGGGGTGGTGGCAGGAGGGTCGGAAGTGGGAGAGGAGGAGGGACAGAAGGGAATTGTCATCACCGCAGGGAAGGGGATGAGGGAGCAGTGGGGGAGGAGGGAAGGCGCTGAAGCGGCAGTGAGCCCGGCAGGGATGCTGTGAGTCCGGCTGAGGTTGGCGACCAGCAGGGCACAGTGGTCCCCAGCGCTCTGTCGCTTCTCCAGAAACACGCTCCGCTTCTCACGTTCAAAAGAGGTTCACCTGAAGTTAGGGCTGATCCAGGCAGGTTTTCTGGGAAGGGGCTGAGCTAGGGACCACCTGAGGATGGAGCAGACGGTCAGTCTGGCAGCCGCCGCCCAGAGGCCGGGACACTGGCAAACCATCAGGGCTGGAAGGGCCAACCCGGAGGGCTGGATGCCCATAGGCAGAGGGGATCGCGGCGGGAAGTTGTCGGGAGATGGCGGCAGGACAGCAGCGGTCTGTCTCTGCTGCCAGACGGCAGGGCCCAAAATGCAGACTGAGGTTGGGGAAGAGGACCGTGGCTTTCATGGTGCAACCACGGCACCGGTGCTGGAGGAACCCCTTCCTGGGAAGGAGTCCAGGGCAGGGGGAGGCACAGAGAGCGTGGCCATGTGACCGAGAACAGGACCAGAATCTGAGGGAAGTCCAGGTGGTAGGTGGACTAGAGGTTCTCATCAGCATCCCCTGGGATGCTTGTTGCAAGGCAAAAACTCCCTGAGCCTACCAAAGACCCATTGATTCAATAAGGTCAACATGGGAATTTGAATTTTTAATACAGATTCCAGGTGATTCTCTTGCCTGCTCAGTTTGAGGACCACGGGTCATGGAGTTTCCAGCTAGGATCCTTTAAATTTCAACCACTTCATTTAGTTCTAGAAACAGCGTGTGTTGGGCTTGAAGATGAAGTAGCTCTAGCCTGCACTTTGGAAATTGCTGATGGGAAATCATTCGTAAGTCTTAGAATTAGTTTAAGGGGTTATGACCTGCATATTAAAGAACTACAGTGGAATAAAACAGAATAGAATCAAATAGACTAGACTAGGGAAAAGGTAGAAAATATCAGGATGCATCATATAAAGTATTGATTTGGACAATTTTGTTTTCCCTCATACAAACATATCAATGTATGTATACTTTCTGGGTTTTGATGTAAAATATATTTCTTAAGGTGGGTAACTGTTAAAAAAGCTTGAAAACCTCTAATTTTTGCTGAATTTCCCTAATTACCCCCATTTTCCTGCTGAGAACATTCTCCACTATATAAAGGACAGTCTGAGAAGTTTGGGGGAAAAAAATACTAAAAGCTACCCATGCCAAAAAATCTGCTGCTGCCTGGCCAGGATCTTTTAGTTATCACAAGGTAAGATCAACAATGACTGATAACGTGGGCCCTACCTTAGAATACGCCACCTCAATCAGGGGAAGTTGCTTCAAACATGGGTTTCATTGTAATATTTACTGATCAAAACCCCAAAATCCAGATTTTTAGATTGCTGGCATTTCTTCTTTCCCCTGACTGTGGCCACCGTGCTGGGAACTACGGGAGTAGGAACTGGTCTCGTAGGTCTTAGTGACCGAAGTCGGCATTAAGGGTGGCTCCAGAATGACTTGGCTCCGGGAATCCTGCCTTTTCTGGGATTCCAGGGCTTTCCTGGGGAGCCTTCTCCATACCCGCCTTCGCTAACGCAGACCCTCAAGCCCAAACTGGTGCAGTGGTCCCAACGCCAGTCCCGCTTTTTAATGGATCCAAGATTAGATTAGGGCTGCGTCTACTGCGGTCTCCGTGTCTGTGGTTCTGGCCAGGCTGCTTCCTCTGTGTCCCCAGCCCCTGAAGCTTGTTGGCTAAAACAAAGGAAGGGTGCAGCCTCTGGCTCCTCTTCACACCCAAAAAAGTAGCATCCCAACATCTGTCCAAGGTCCAGCAGGTTGTTTTCCTCTGGAAGACTTGAGTTTGGTGTTTGTGCTGCTTTTGTGACTCGCTCTTCAAGGAGGCAGTACTGGGAACCTGTCACCATTGGCCACTCTGGTCTTCGAGCAGACCCTTCTTGGGGCAGGTTCACCTTGGCTTTCTCCCGTCTGTCTCCTGGGACTTCCTGCCACCCTGGGGCAGTGCCAGTGCCAGATGTCTCAGCAGGTGTTCCTGTCTGGGCATCTGAATCACTGTCCCAGGAGAAATGTTTGTTCTTTAAGAGAAGCTGCCCTGAAAACATTCATTTTCCCTAATGTGTGTGCTGAAGAGCAAGTTGATATAATAAAACCAGGAAAGTATCACAAAATTAATAAATAGAAGTTGTTCCAGTTACTTCTGCTTGTCTTTGGGGACTTTATGTTTTGTATTGTCTACTACTGTCTCGGATATTAAAAGTATATTTTAATGTGCAGTTTTGGTGTTGAGACGAATTGTTTCATAAAGTGCTTTCAGAAATATTATAATTGTGCTCATAGAAGACACAGCTTGCAGCTGCTTGGCTTATGAAACCCCAAATATTTAATTTGGACTCCTCATGTTTAGTCAATAGAAGAAAAAAAAAATGCTACAATGGGGATTTTCCACTAGTTGTATGTTCTTACAGTGAAAATCTCTCATAATCCTGGTACCAAAGAGTAGCACTGACGGTTGTGATATTAATTGGCTTCACTTGCTGTTTTGGGGTGTTGCTCTATTTGGGAAGGTCACCGCTGTGGTGATGAGTGCGATAACTGGGCTTCTGCTCTGTGCGGCCCTTCAGCTCCTGCCCGAATCCTGACCTTCAGTGGGACGGTGACCACTCCGTGGATGAAGGACATTGTCTTGCCTTGTAAAGCTGTCGGGGACCCTTCACCTGCCGTGAAATGGATGAAAGACAGGTAACCAGTAACCCAATGTATGCCTTCAGTGAAACTCCAAAAGACTGTGTGTGATGCACTGGTGTTGGGTCTAGTGGTCTTCTAATTTTGTATTTATTTGTATTAGTGAAAGCTCAAGGAAAGCTACCAATTCTCCTGAGACGAAGGTAGGGGAGGAACCTCATCTTTACCACTGAAGGGTCTGATCCATTGCATCAGTCCTCTGTATGAATTCAGAGCGTTTGAATTCATAAGAGAATGCTTGCAAGGAAAACAGTCTAAGCAAATAAAATAATCACCATGAAAGTCTGTTGTTCACTATCAGATAGATTGTATAACTTAAATGAATGTACCCAAGATCATGGTGAGACTTAACACCTATCTGCTCTCCTTCAGAGATAAGGAACCAGCTAACCCTATCTCGAATACTCTGAGAAATAACCCTAAGAAATGGAACACATTAGGACTTTGCTAATATAAAGTCTGGTTCTTCACACTCCATAGTAATTATTAAAATACTAGGAGCCAAGGTAGCAGGGAGCAAGTGGGTGAGATGTATTCTGTCCATGTAGCTTTTTAAAGTGCTTCATCTCTATTCAGAGGAAGAAGTTAGGATATAAATAAAGAGTTGAAATTCATTTATGAGCATAGAGATTTGATATAATGGATTCACAAGAGTGCCTATTTTCAAACAAAAGCACTTAAAAGACATAAACTATTGAAATAATTGTCCCAGTCTAGTGACCACTTTTCTCATTGCATTAAAAATTAATCCAAAGGAAACACGTAAGCCCCGAGGTCAAGCTGGCATCCTGCCTGAGGGAAGAATGACCTTGGGTGACTGGACAGTCTGCCGCCACGGCAGTGGGTATGGTGGCCAGAGAATTTTTTCTTTACTAGGGCCAATTGATCACTGTCTTGAGATGAAACTTTTCATTTTTTAATGACAAAATCATAAAGAACTGTAACTTTAAGTGAATCTGTAAGCAATCCCAAGACTGAGTTTCCTGTAAATGATTTGGTCAAACTGGCATTTCTGCCCATGGAAGGAATTCCCAGGATTGCCCAAAAGAGGAAGTTGCCAGTGTCCACAGGGTGGAGGAAAGAGCAACCCATCCTCAATGTGACAGTCCCTGGCACGTGTAAGGGCCACCGACTCCCAAGCTGGCATCCAGGCCCTGGACACAGGCTTAGTCTTCAGCATAACATTTTTTGTTTACAATGAAAAAACTCAGCTACTCAGCTATTGCTGTTTTTTATTGCATAATCATAGTCTAAATCTTTCACAATACAAGAGATACCAAGCTGCCAAATGTATTGTTGCTTCAGGGAGAGTATTTTTGCTTTTCCCCAACCTCAGCTAATTTGGATTGTAATTTCTTTAATCTGTGCATTTTTCTTCCTGTGAGGTAGTAACGGGACACCCAGTCTGGTAACGATTGATGGGCGACGGAGCATCTTTAGCAATGGGAGCTTCATTATCCGCACGGTGAAAGCGGAAGACTCCGGCTACTACAGCTGCATCGCCAATAACAACTGGGGATCCGATGAAATCATTTTAAATTTGCAAGTACAAGGTACAGAACTTGGGAATTCTTTGTAATATCTTTAGCAAGTGTGCCTTATATGCAAAGAATAAAAGTGAACAAATTTAAAAAAAAATCAGCCCTTATAAAGAGCCAACACTGATTTTCATATTACAAAAAAAATTTATTTTGGAAAATATAACTAAACGAATCAAAGTAAATGAAAAGCACTCACAGTCCCAGAGATAATATTGGGATGCAATACATTTTTGCATATAAAATGCCTAGTCTCTTTTTTCTTTATGTGTGCATCTCTATAAAAGTCCTTCTTAATAACTTCTACTAATTGCAGTATTTATGTATGTGTAAGTATAACCCAGAAAACACAAAGTAAATCTGAACTATGGCCTTTTATGTCTGCTAATTAACTCAATTTTTATATGTAATGTATATAAAAATGACACTAACTGAAACTCTAAGTAAACTGTTATAATATTTAGCTGTACATTTAATACAAGGTATTTAATTTTTCTTGTTATCATACACAAAACGTACACAACAACTTCAAAAGATTGCCATATTAAAATGGTGTGTAAAGTCCCAAACAGCTACTGAGTAGGTTCAGATTTGGATGCACAGTGATATTTTATTAGTAGAAAAATCAAAGTGCATGCTTCTTTAAGTATAGGTTTTGTCACATTAATAGGTTACAGCAAGTAAAAATAAAATCAATACTGTCTTCAGCAGGATGGAAGGGAATGAGAAGGACTATATATATATTTTTTAAGTCACTGCAAAATTGATCTTGAATTTCAAGTTAATTGAAGTCAGGAGAATTCCAGAGCATTTTGGAAGATAGGCTCTATGATATGACTTTAAAGAGAAGGGTCAGTTTTTCAGGCCTTTGGGTCAACATATCAGGCTTCTGTCAGAGGAAAAGAGAAAGGCATTTTATGTGAAGCTTTGTACATAATTTGCATAACCTGGTTCTGAATTTCTTTAGTGTTTCTCTCCTCAGAACCTGTCCAAAATTATACTGAGGCCCATTGTTTAGAAGTATGAAACATATTCTGGCAACGTTGAGGGAGGGTTTAATTCGCGTGCTGCAGCCCAGAGGCACACCTGTGATGTTCAGAGCTCTGTGTCTGTGTGTTTGTGTGTGTTTCATCTTGGGAAAGCAGCTTAAAAAGTGGACACTTTTGCAATTCTTTGTCCCACTAGCTACTTCTTCCCCTTCCCCTTTCTCCTCCCTGAGAGGAACAGAACAGCTGAGTGGATGCCTTTTACCTTTTTTCACTTGAATGTCATGGCTGAAATTCATAGTAAAACAATGCATGTACCCTGAGTAAGTTTAAAGAAGATCTCGATTAGCGATGAATAACTCACCAATTCAAGGAATTGGGGAAGAAATGAATTACATATGAATCCAAATAGAAATGTGGTTGAATTTCCTTCAATGATAGATTCGCCCTATTCTATCTCTTTAGCCTAGGATATCAACTAAACAGACAGTTTGACAGATGTGAATTGCATGTTTCAGCAACCTAAAACTCTTACTTAATAAATGGCTTGTTAAAAAATGATTTGGTAAGCGACTGCTCAAAAAGGTTGGAGATGTGAAAAACTAATTCTTGTTTCCTAAAAACTGCTTCCTCTGTAGTGCCGCCAGATCAGCCTCGACTCACGGTGTCCAAAACCACGTCTTCCTCCATCACCCTTTCCTGGCTCCCTGGAGACAATGGGGGAAGTTCTATCAGAGGTAATAAGATGCGGGTTTTCACAACAGTCCAATAACTGTTTTGTCCAGAGGCCAATAAGCGACCCCTCTCCATCAAGTAACTGGTATGGGCTAGTTTATTCTCCCCAAGAATATATCGTATGATTAGTTTCTCTGTTACCCAAGCAAGAAACTGTATATCTAATTTTAGGGTATTTGTTGAAACTCTAATCATTCATCCGAGGAATCTCATTCACAAATTATTCTGGTGCATCATGTCAGAGTGAAATATTAACAAATGCAAAAAAAAAAAAAAGAAAGAAAGGAAGACATTTGGTAATCTCCTCCCTGAGAGTCTGAATACTGTTTCAATTCTCCGTTTTGCCAACACTGTCAATCATTCAAGTAACCGCACTGACTGTTCTGCCTTACAAGGAAATAGCAGACAGAGAAGCTAGAGTGTAGATGGGAAACAATCTGTTTGCACAAAGCCTTTGCAATTAGTGCACGATAGGTACATATAAATAAGGTCCACGCCAAAGGAATGGGACAGTGTGATAATTCTAGTAGAAGCGGAGCTGGCAGACTCCATTCTAGGCAAATTTGCAGACCAAGGAAAGGGAGTTGATCCAGGGGAAGGAATGGAAGGCACAGCAAAGAGGGACTGAGTCACAAAAGAGGTCCCAAGGTGGTGAGAGAGGATGAGGGGCTTAGATCTCTGAAGGTAGAGAAGGTCCTTCCTCTGAGAGAAGAGCAAGGATGAGAAATCAGCCGGAAACACAGGGACGCTTCAGGGTGGAGCCGGTGTTCTGCTGCAGCCAGCTCCTCTGGCTCCCGAGTGCAAGCTGTCCCATCTCTTCCCAGCTTTGCGCCCAGTGACCGCAGCCACGCTGGGAATTGTCACACACCGCAGGGATCAGAAATGCTACAAATCGGGGTTTTTATTTCTTTTTCTCTCCAAGAGCCAACTGTTAAACATTTACCATCATTCCACTGGGTGAAGGGAGTATTTTCCTTTTTTATAGGAAATAAAAAAGGTGAGGCTATTTTTTAAAAATAGTTGGATGATTAGGGTTGAGGATGTGTTTGTGGGTTTGAGGAGCGTGGGATGGATTTGTAACAGCTGCCTTGCGAAATGCACAGGGAGTCATTAATAGATGAAAAAAGTCATTGCCAAGCAGCATCAACGACCCAGCTGCAGATAAGGAGCAAAAATTATAGTGGTCACAATTGTCACAGTTTAGTGACTTTCCTCAATGATGCGGGGCAGGTGGAAAGAAAAGTGGATCACAGGTTACCAAAGCAAGAAGAGTGTGGCTGGAAGTCCAAAGAGCAAGGGAAACCGGGCTCCTTGTTGAAATGGTCTAGGCTGGTTAGAGAACCTGCTCATAGGAAAACAGAAATGGGGCTCCCAGGGAAGCCTCGGAGCACCCTAGGCTCTAGGCTCATATGAACCGAGGTTTGGATTTTGCAAGCACCAGCCCGTGGGAGAGGTAGAACAAGAAGAGTGTCGGAGTGCAGGGGCTTGGAGGTGAAGTCAGGTTTAGTGATGAAGAGTATCCAAGGCAAAGGTGACCAAGGTGTCCCTGAAATGCAGCAGTGGCCACAGCCATTGGCATTGAGAGGCGTCGTAAGTCTGGTGTGCCCACACTGATGGACACTGCCGTCACTGAGGACAATAGCAGGGAACAGGGAACCACGTGGGCCCATCGCCAAGGGTTGGAGGAGGTTTTAGAGGTGGCTTAGACGCTGGGTGGTTTTTAGAAGTGGCTCAGGTGCTGGGCAATGGGAGGGAGGTGCAATGTGCATGACATGCATGGCAGCTGGGGCAGAGGTCGGATGTGACCATGGGGTCACAGTGAGCACAGGTGTGACCTGCCAGGTATCATAGGAGCTTCGAGGAGCTCAGATGAGGAACTCAGAGGAGAGAAAACAGGGCTTGGGAGGGAGGAAGGACCCCACAGCTACAGAGGGCCAGGAGGAGAGGGAAGGATGAAAGGAGGAGGGGAGGTACTGACCATGGCCACCAGGAGGAATCAGAGATGAGTGATCTCGATGGGAGGAGGGGTTTGGAGAGCACTTAATGCTGCCCCTTTGGGGTCAGTGTGGAGGGTGACAAGTGCCTTGGAGTTGCGCAGGGTGGGGTGGGCGATTCCAGTCATTGGTGTAAGGACACTGTGTACTAGGTAGGCCAGGCAGAGCAGAGGCGACACCTTTGCCCCCAGGAACGTGGCTGCAGATAACAGGGGTGGAAGGGCAACGAGGAAGGATGTTTCGGAGATCCTGGCTTCAGGCCGACGGCGGGGCTTGCATCTTCCTGACGGCACTTGAGACTCTTCTCCTGGCCCTCTGGACCCCGGTGTGTTCATCCAGTGTGCAGGGTGGTGATCGCTATTCACAGTTGCCGTTAGTTGCTGTAAAAGAGATAAAAATGGTCCTGTTGGGGAATGAATAGTTGGAGGGCATTTTCAAAGGCAGGAGAAGCCGGGTCACTATTGAGATGTTGGCGTGGCTGCGGGCCTTGGAGCTGGTCTCCTGGTGTCTGGACCGGCAGGCCAGGAGCATATGGCCAGGCGCTGGCTCAGGAGACTCCCACCCCACAGGTAACACATGCCTTCCCCAGGGCTTTGCTTCTCTAAAAGTAGCCCAGCTGTAGCCTGAGTCTGTGCCCAGGGATTCAGCCTCATGTGCTCCAAAGGGCCAGTATTTATTTAGCAACTTAGTGTTCGTTCCCTGCTGCCCAACGTGGCTTTTAAAAGGTTAGGAGCAGGCCGGGCGCGGTGGCTCACACCTGTAATCCCAGCACTCTGGGAGGCCGAGGCAGGCGGATCGCTCGAGGTCAGGAGTTCCAAACCAGCGTGAGCAAGAGCGAGACCCCGTCTCTACTATAAATAGAAAGAAATTAATTGGCCAACTAATATATATAGCCTGGGCAACAAAGCGAGACTCTGTCTCAAAAATAAATAAATAAAATAAAATAAAAGGGAAGGAGCAGAAAGCGGCTTCCTTTGCACCCTGCTTCCCAGCAGTATCGGTGCAGTAATAGTGTCTACTGTGCGCCCAAATGCCTCACTAATGAACACGGCCCGGCACTTCTCCCAGGCTGGGTTCAATTTCCCAGAACGAGGAAGCGTTAGAACACTCCCTCCTGAAGCTGTCCCGAATCTGAGAACCCTCATCGCCTCGCCACTGCGCCCTGCCATCTCCGCCGGCCTGCCTCTGGCGGGAGCACACGAGGCTCACTCACGTGCCTGTGCCCCCTCCTCCCCAGGGTACATTCTGCAGTACTCGGAGGACAACAGCGAGCAGTGGGGGAGCTTCCCCATCAGCCCCAGCGAGCGTTCCTACCGCTTAGAAAACCTGAAGTGTGGGACTTGGTACAAGTTCACGCTCACCGCCCAGAACGGCGTGGGCCCTGGGCGCATCAGCGAGATCATAGAGGCGAAGACGCTGGGGAAAGGTGGGTATGCCTCCCTCCTCGCTGCTAGATGCCTCCGTTTTCCCACCAGAAGTGGGGGTTAGAATCCTAAGTTCCAGTCGTATGTGAATAGATCCTGCCGTCTATTTATGCGTTTGCTCATGTATTTGAACTTTGTTATTCCACAGTATTACAGCGTAATGAGACAGAGAGATGGCCAGTCCTTAGCAACCATTCTCGTTCTCTTTTATTATTATTATTATTTCATTTGCAATTAAAAAGGGAAGAGTGTCCTTTGAAAATCAAAGGTGTCGGGGCCAACAGAAGGTGCCAAGGGTGGGCAGCCGTGAATCGTGACATCTGCCCTCCCAGCCCTTTTTAGGCACCCTTAGTCACCCCACCCCCACATTCCTATAGTCTCCACTATAGGAGACTCTATTGCCTCAATGTCCCCACTTCACAGGTGGGAGATGACTGGGGTAAGTCATGAACACTTCAGTGTGAGTTGGGATTGTATCTGATATGTGGACAATGAACCCCGGGGAAATGATTCGCAGGAGAGAAATTTGCAGGCAGCCCAGGAATGCCAGGAAGAGGAAGGGGTGTGGCTGTAGTGAGGAGGTGAGGAGAAGGTCTTTGCAGGTGTCCCTCCCATCCGAAACCTGCCAGGGGGTGGGCTCAGGTGGCAGGAGAGCGAGAGAAGAGTCGGCAAGGGTGTTATTTGGGCCTGCTGCCTGGGCTTTGGATAGCACGTGGCAAGTGTTCAGATGATAAGGGATTGAGTTATGCAGAAATACATCCGTCAGGTCCCTGGGCTCCAGGACCACGTGTTTGGGTGCTGAGGGACATCTGTCCATACTTCCCAAATGCAGCCACGTCCTCTCTTGATGCAGGCCCATCACAACGCAGCGTGTGAACTCTGAAGGAAACCCATGCATGAAATAGTAACAGCACTGCTCTTCAGGGACCTCTAAAATGCACAGTAATAGCCTCCACCCACCCAGTTTTCCCTCTCACAGCCAGGCCTTTACGGCTGGAGAAAGCCCATTGGTCCCTAGGTCCCTATTAACAGCAGACAAGTTGCAAGTGGCCTGTGTCCCAGACTTGGGCTGAGCTCCCGCCTGGTGGAGGAGGCGGCCGAGGGAAGCGTGGGAAGAAGGCTCCGGTGGCTCCCACCCGTGTACCCCGGGGACTGACGGCCGCGTGCCCCCCCCCGCAGAGCCCCAGTTCTCCAGGGAGCAGGAGCTGTTCGCCAGCATCAACACCACCCGCGTGCGGCTCAACCTCATCGGCTGGAACGACGGCGGCTGCCCCATCACCTCCTTCACGCTGGAGTACAGGCCCTTCGGGACCACGGTCTGGACCACGGCTCAGCGGACCTCGCTCTCCAAGTCCTACATCCTGTACGACCTGCAGGAAGCCACGTGGTACGAGCTGCAGATGCGCGTGTGCAACAGCGCCGGCTGCGCCGAGAAGCAGGCCAACTTCGCCACGCTCAACTACGACGGCAGTAAGCTGGCGGGCGCCGGGGCCCCTCCGTCTGCGTCTCGGGGTGGGGGGTGCTGTGCGCGTGGACCACTCATCCGGCCATGGTGTGACCAGGGCCCTCACAGCCCATTGGACTTGGGGGGGGGCATTCGGTTGGTTTTCTCTGGGGCTCCCGAGTTCATTGTCTCCAGATGACCATGACTGTATGTCCAGAAGTAAGGGACAGAGGCCAAAGGGAGTGTCTGCCACTGGGAGTCTCGGAGCAGGAGTGATTTCTCCGAAAGGAGTCTTGACCACGTGGTCCTGTGCCACGCCCGTGAGCTGACATTGCTTTCGTTGTCTCCCACCCTCCCCCCATCCCAACCCACATGACAACTTTCTTTTTTGCACTCATCATTAAGCTCTTAAACTGCATGTGCAAAGACAATTTTCCATGGTAAAGGAGCTTATGTTAGTCTGGGGGCAGAAGCAGGGGCGCTGGGGAAAACGGAGTGACAGTAGAACGTCAGTGTGTGCGCGCACACACACACACACACGTGTGCGTGCACACTCGCAGCTTGCGTGAACTTTCCAGAAACCAGGCGAGGTGTCTCTTGACATTTGTGTCACTAAAAATAGATGGTTTAAATTTTTAAGCTTTTTTCTAGTATCAAGGGCCATTGGTGGACATCTGAAGAAATGGCCAGCCCCATGGTGCTGAAAGGGAGTGTGTCGCTGGGTGTTAGTTACTGAGGGGACTTTAGGAAGTGCTCAGTGGCAGCGTGTCGGTGCTGATTTCTACAGCCTTGCAGCGTTGTTCTTGCAACAGTACCGATTGAATCTGGTGCTCTATTTGCAAGGTGACACCGGCAGCAATCCTTGGGGATGCTTGGAGCCCTGGTGTAGCTCCCCTCCTAGCCATCTGCCCATGCCCCACTGGTCAGGCTGGACCACAGTGCTGAATGAGGTGACCAAGAAACGCCCAGATTCTTTACTCACCGTTAGTCAGGCTCAGGGGCGATGCTTCTTGTGCTGTGTGCGTTTGGAATGCCGCTTCTGGACGCTCCGGCAGGAACTTCCTTGGAGCACGGTTTATGCCATCCTGAGAAAAGAGTGGCCATGAACCCAAGGGCCCTCAGAAATGAGCGACCAAAAGGAGCTTAGGGGGATGCTGCCTAGGATCCTCAGGGGGTCCACCTCTCCTCGGATGTCCCAGAGCTGGCTCCTCCTGGCCTGGCACACAGCGTAGACCCACCTCTGGATCTCCCGCCCCAGGCCATCTCTGCAAGAACTCCTCCCCCACCAGCGCGCAGCCCCCGCGGGCACATCCGGCCAAGAGCCAGGGCTGCAGGAGGGGCCTAGGCGGGAAGCCCTCTGGATTGGTTACCCGGGCCCGAGACCCCGGCCTCCGCTGTGGCCCTGGCCGTTGGTCCCGGAGGAGCCTGTGCAGCTCCTGGACTGTTCCTCTCAAGGCCGGTGCTGTTCCTGGGCCGCCTTTCTCTCGCTTTTAGCCCTCAGTTGTGAGCGACTTCATTCAAGGGCGTTCCCGTCACAAAGCACCCCCACGGGCGGAACAGCAGTTCCTGCTTGATTTTTCCCCCCAAAAGTGGTTTTATTATTTGCTCTTACGCTATAAAGAGCTTGGACACTTACCAAAGTCATCTGTTACCATGTACACATTTGGGTAGTAAGTGTATGTCTTACTTTAGGTTACTGACCTTTGACATGCGCACTCTGACCCACAGCTCCCCTGAGACAGTGCAGGGGTCAGAGCACGCAGCTCGAGGTTCTCACGGCTGATAATTGCTCCCAGCTAATAATTTCATTAGCAACTACTCCTGTATAGCGTTGGAAACTGTGATCCTAACTCACAAAGTGCTCTGCAGTTGTTAAGTCTTCGTCTTCTAAAAAATACATAATGTTCTCACTTTATCCAGGCTCACAAATTACAAAAAAGTCCTGTGAGCTACATTTAAATTTCTGAAATCGTAAATGATTTTAGTACACTAGGAAGTTAGAATGCTTATGTATATTTTCCTTGCATGGGATTACAGATTTCTTTGAAGCAATCTGATGGATAGATAGTTTTAATATCTCTATTGTCAGGTCTGCCTAAAGGATGTTTTTTATTTGGGGGAAAACAAGCATCACCAATTGGCCTCGCATTTATACCACTCGGCTTTCAGAGTCTTGCTTCCCTTGATCTGACTTTCTTCTGCCATTCCTTAGCTAAAGGTTTCTGCTCATCCTTGTCTGTGTCTTGGTTTTGTGGACCCCTCCTCACAGCCACCCCTTAAGTGCCTTTTATCTGGTTTCTGAGCATTCTGAGATAGGTTTCCAGTGAAAACACTGTAAAGTTGGAACAATACTCTTCTTGTCTTTAGCAGAGATCAAGGGACTAGGAATTCTATTATCCCTGCTCTACTTACTAAACGCAAGATAAAGATCATTTTTGCTCAGGGGGAAATTATATATTTTTTGCATTCTTTCTCCCAAAACACTGACTTTCTGGCTCATATTTTATTTGGAATATATGGTGGGATGGAGCCTCTTACATAAAGGAGGATGGCAAAATACCTGTCCCATAAAAAAATGGATGCCCGTGTTTCAATCTCTACGCCCGTTGCGTTCAGCATTGGGGTAGAGGGCAGCTTAAAATATAACAGCTCAGAGTTCATTGCCTTTCAGGGTTTCCTTCTGACTCTAAATGATCTGAATTTCATAGCACTGTTTAACACTGCCTGGTTAATAGTAGTTTGCTTTAAAGACCTAGATTGGTCCCCTTTGAAAAGTTGTCTGTAGCTCTTATACCCTAAAATGACAGGTTTTTTAAGTAGATTTCATTTTACGCCTGTGATAAAAAGCAAAAGGATAACCAAGTAAAAAGGGGTTTATGCTTCTTTAAGCCAGTATATCCGGTATAGCCTCCCTGCAGACACTCTTCTGTCCATTTGCCAAACGTATTGTTCCTTTTCTGATGTGCAATTTTTCAACTAGTCTCTACCAATTGTGCTGTGGGTGACAGTCAAAAGGACACCTAATTCTGGGTAAATGCACGTGGCTTTTGTGTGAGTACTGAGCGGGGGCATTGTGCTTTCAAGTGCCTGCCCCCGGCAGTACGTCGCAAAACGAAGTCCCTTTCAAAGATGTGCTGTGCCGTGGAGTCGGCAGGAAGCTCGGGCAAAGGGAGGGGAACGAACAAGAAAGCAAGTTAGCAAGGGCCTAGGGAACGAGTCCCTCTCATTCCGCATCACCCCCAACACCCTTGGCTCACACAGCGCGATCTCTGTAACCCCTCATCCCTAAAAACTCTGCCATGCCGTCTTCATGAATGGCCATCTATTAATTAATTAATAGCCACCTAACATCCTGGCCCTGCTTTCAGGTACGATTCCTCCACTCATTAAGTCAGTTGTCCAGAGTGAAGAAGGGCTGACGACCAACGAGGGGCTCAAGATGCTGGTGACCATCTCCTGCATCTTGGTGGGAGTCTTGCTGCTGTTCGTGCTCCTGCTGGTCCTGCGGAGGCGGCGGAGGGAGCAGAGGCTGAAGAGGCTCAGAGGTAGGTCGAGGGCTGGCAGCTGCGTCCTCCCCAGAGTCCCCCTGCTGCGCAGCGGCAGCCACCGGGACAGAGAACAGGCCCAGAGGGGAATGACACTTCCCTCTCCCAGCCAGGCCCTTGCCTGATTGCCTGACAGCCCTTCAGCAAGGGCCCTTCCCATCTCAGTCAATCAGAGGTCGGGGCAAAGCCAACCTCTGGCATGCCCCCTGCATCCTAGCTTGTCAGTAGGCAGAGAAAATTAATTTCGCATGGGTTTTTCAGCCCCACTCTCATTAATTTTCAGTGGCTCCAGCAAAGCCACCAATTATGGCTTTCTCTGAGAAGACCTATCAGATCTGCTCTGGGGACGAGAATGATTTCATTGCCCGGGAGCGGAAATTGAGGGCGTATGGTCCTGGGGAGGCATTGAGAGGCAGACGACACCACGCTTTCCCAAATTAGAAATTTGAGCTGAAGCCCAGTGTAAGAGTTTCAGTCGAGCTAAGAAAAAAAACAAATAATAGTAATAATGGACTGGTGGAGAACCCAGGCCAGATGAGACCCATTGTTAGCAGACACCGTGATTACAGCGTCCGGCCCTGTGGTCCTGCGTGATGCAGCTATTCTCAGCCTCTGGCCGGCAGCCCTCACTTGCCCTTGCTCTGCAACGTGAGAACGGGGGGTTCTTCTGAACAAAAACTGTGCAGGAGAAATGTTCCTGAGTCCTTTGCCCTTCACCGGTGACGGCATTTAACCGACCCACTTTTTTGGTAGAGTGCATATGCACGGCATTTGCATTTCAGTGTCAGTGCAGTGTGGAGTGTTGATGCCCTGTATCCCACATATTCTTCAGACTTACATTCGAGGAGCAAGTCTGGAAGCACGTCCTCTAAAATATACCTACGATGTCCCCAAACTTTGCTGATATATTTAGAAAACATCGACCTCTGCTGTAAATACTCTACTCGACCACAATCCAGTTAAAGCAGTGAACGTGGTGGTGTTTCCGCCCGTCTTCACCTATCCAAAGCAGTCCTTTTCACGGGACGCAGATACATTGTACTATCACTTAGCTTTCACTCTGCCAACAAGTTAAGATATTTGAACTGCGTCACCCTCCATCTGTGCATTATAATTAATAGTCTGTCCATTTAAGTCTCCTGCCGCCCAACAATTCAGACGAACCATCAATCTCATTGAAATGTGCTTTCTCAATCACGCTAACCAATTATCTGTGAATTTTGCTGACATTACTTGTTTGATTTTTTTTTTTTTTTTTGCGTTGTTGGTTGTTGGTTTTCCCACCTTGAAAGGAAGGGGTTTTGGGGCTTTTGGTTTTATTTTGGGGGGGGGTCCCTTAACCGGTTCCCATTAAACCGCCACCACCACAAAAATGTCATGAATGTTAAAATAGGACTTCAAACAAATTCTCCATAAGTGAAAAAGAAGGATGGATCAATCCCAAGTGGAGAGAAAAAGGAAGGCTACCTAAGTGCTAAATATAATAGTACTACAATAGTACAACACTGCCCAGTGTGTTGGAGAAATTCAGCTTAAAGTAGACTGTGATGAATTCCATGCACGTGTGCTCATCACTGAAGTATCAAAAGGATGTTTTGATAATCCTCTTTCGGGGTGGTGGAATCCAGTGGCCCAGACTTCAGGGCAGTTGTTATCAAGGCTCCAAGAGGGTCTGTCCTTGTTGCTTTTAGACAACTATATCTAACTAGTGTCATGTGGGAGGCTTTAGATCATCCACATAACATTTCTTAAAACCAACTGTAAAAGTGTCTATTCAATCACAAAAGTTTGGCAGCAAATGGGTTCAGGTCCTAGGCAGTCCTTCCACCAGTCTACCCATTCTGCCAAATTTGCTTTTTCTTTTTGTCCCTGGCTCCTATTGCTTGCTCTTTGCCCCTCAGATATTGTTTCATTTTTCCTATTCTGCAACCTCGTGCGTCCCTGCCAAGGGCATTTCTAGTTAGGGACGCTGCTGACTGTTTACTGAGGCCTTTGGGTTAGGATGACGGGAGACCCACGCATCCTTTGTTTCCATTCTTAATAGCTCCTTATAATTTAGTTCCTTGCTTTGCAAGGGCTGTCTATGTCCAGGAAGCATTTTAATCTCTGGCATCGCTACTTCTAGACGACGCTAGTGTCCTTTAGTTGGGTTTGGTGAAGGAAGCAACACATCACATCAGAGCACCTGGTCTTTCCTTCCCCAGAAAATGGTTCTGTTTTCTCTGTGCCAGAGACAGGGTAGTGCCAGCACAAAGGTTTCAGCAGGAAGAAAATAAGCATCGTGGCAAAGAGGATGTTTTCATGTGAGATGCTAAAGAGCAAAGAATTCCAGGGAAGTAGCTTGCTGTGGTACCAAGGTACCTGCAGTCTTGCATTTTGTACATGCGTAAATAAAGGGCCTCTCGAATCAGGAATCTGAAAAGAGGACAGCAAGCATGCAAAGGAATTCAATTCCATACCACTTCCTAATGGCAAGTTTCAGTGCGGACGTACTGAAATAAATCCGTTCAACAAATCACTGTAGCTTATCTGCCAGGGCCAAGGTTTCCAGGACTAACATCTGCTTGTTATTAATCACTTCTATTTGCTCACCAGAGTCTGGCTAGGTCCAGGGGAGGAAAAAGATTTCTAAGACCCTGTTGCAGAACCGTAGAAGGGGACACTGCAGGGGTCGTGGGCCAGGGTTCACAAGGGCAGACTCATCTCTCCGTAGTGAGGTCCTGCAAGGACAGTCAGCAGTGGGGGTCAGAAAGGGGAATCAAGGAAAGTCCAGGCCTTGCCCGGAAGGGTCTTTGTCTTTTAGCTCCGCAGGGCCCTGAGATGTTCATTAGTGACATGAAATATTTCCAGCTCACTGCAGCTTGAAGTAATAGATCCCTATCTATTAAACATCTCAGAGTTCGTTAGTAGAATCACCCAATTACAACCTGACCCACATACGGCAAAGATTCTGTGCCTGTGTTAGAAGAAGTTCAAATATATTTACAGAGTCTATGGAGAGAATCGCTGCACACAATACTTTAATTGTCCAAAATAAGGGCCACATTTCTAGTAATGTGTCAGCGTTGCCTGGGCAGCCTCCTGTCAAGATCACTTGTAAATAAGAAACTCTGAATTATGGAAGAATTTGTAGGGGTCCCTAACAGATGTTTTTAAAGTGAATTATGTAAGGTCAGCCTCATAGAATTGGCCTTGTTTGATTGCTGGAAACTACCAAAATGTTTACCAGCAGAGTGTTTTACCATACAGACAAGCAACCTAGTTGGGTGGATGCAATATAATGTTGTTTTACGTAAAAAAAAAAAAATGTTTAAAGAAAGAAAGAAGGAAAATGGGACTGAAGCAGTTAAGCCAACCTATATTCTTTCTTCCTGAGTACTTCACTAATTTTAGAGCATAGCGACCTCCTAAACTCTAAATTGCCTGCAAGTGCTCCTTTTTTTTTTTTAAATCTATAACCTTATCCAGGAGTTTAGAAGCATTTTGCTTTTAATGATGCCCTCGTTTCCACCCAACTTCTAGATCCTTTGAAGTGCAAGGTCATAGGGCAAGTCACTGGCTGGGCCTGACATCCCAGAAGTCCCACGCTTATAAAAATGTGATTCCTGTATCAAGTAATCAGCTCCAGTATTTCTACAAGCCTCCTCCTTTAGTATGAATCTGCTTAAGAAGGTGCAAGCTTCCATCGGCACCAGTCAGTACGGGCAGTGCCAGCCCCTAAGTTCCAAGACTTCACATAAATTAAAGATGAAAATCAATGAGTGATAAAAAAAAAAAAAAATTGATCATGCTCTTATGGCAAAATGCCCTTCTTCTCGTGATCAGAAATGCTATTTGTTATTTCAAACATGCTTTGAAATGGAGTAATATTATAAAACTGATAAACTCCAGAAGACTGTTGCAGAGAGCACCTGGGCTTTGGTGCCGGGCGGGCACAGTTTAAGGGGTGAGCGGTGAGGGGCATCACAGCAGCCGTTTAGCTGTTCTGCAAATGAGCCCAATGCTCTCCTCATTTGCAAAACCAAAAGGTAACTTTAACTTCAATTATCTAAAGCAGGAATATACATGTAGGAGCCCAGTGACACTTAAACTTGAGGTAGCCTCTAAGTAAGTAAAGATGCCCCAGCACTAATGGGTAGAGTCCCCGTAAATGTGCTGTTAGTGAAGAAACAGGAAGTGTGCACCCCAGCAGTTTCATTGCCAAACTAATAATTGCCCAAATTGTGGTTAAGGTAGCATTAGAAGCCTGTCTGCTGGCACTTTTTAGTTCTATGCTTTGTGTTTTCTTTCTTCTTTCCTTCCTTCTTTCTTCCTTCCTTTCTTTCCCTCTCTCTCTTTCTTTCTGCCTTAGTATCTTAATAACGTTATTCTTTTAAAACGCCAAACTTTTTACATTTTATATCATTGCCTCAAAATGTTTGTACCCTCACAATATCCTGGAAAAAAAAGATGAGTTATCCTGTGCATGATGCCAAAATGAATTTTCTAAAATGCAAATCTGATCACTACACTCCCATATGCACTCTGTATTCCAAACTTAATAAATTACTTGCTTTCCTAGAGACAAAAAAAATAAAATAAAACTCAAACTTGTAATGGTAGAACTAAGTAGAACATTGGGTGGGTGCAAGTCAAGGGCTGTGGGTGGGGCCAGGGACGGGCAGTGCCAGTCCTGGGGGGACAGTCCTGGGTGTCAGCCTGGCCCTGGAGCTCTGCCTTGCCTGGGTGTTCTATTCTGTGTTTTGTACTTGCAGTCTTCTCAGATTACCAGTATATACTTTTTTTTTTTTTTTTTTTAATGCACACATTGCCACAGTTTTCCGAATCGGCTTTCATTTCAGCCTGCTGATGATCGGACGTGCTATTTGGGATCTTGTAAAAACTTAAATGCAGGTTTGCAGCCCGTACGAAAATAGCTACTTTATGAGACCCATTTCAATTCCACAGGAAAGCAGAGCCTGCAAAAGAAATGTCTGATGGAGGGTAGGGCAAGGTCAAAT